TCGCTCTTCTAAAGTTTCAGGGTCCTGACCTTGCTCTTTGCCAAGCCCATATCCCTTGAGATCTCAAACTCAACCAGGGCATGGCCACAGCAGCCCAGGCTGCCTCCAATCTTAACCTTTTTAAGTTTGTCTGCACTGGTGAGCACCAGGTCCAGTAACGCCTCTCTTCTGGTTGGTTTGTCTGATACCTGGACCAGGAAGTTATCCTCAACACACTCCAGGAGTCTCCTGGATTGTGCACAGCCTGCTAGGTGGCCTTTCCAGCAGACATCTGGGTGGTTGAAGTTCCCCATCAGGATGAGAGTATATGAGTGTGGTGCTTCTTGTAGCTGAAGCCAGAAGGCCTCATCAACAGCCTCCCCATCAACAGCCTGCAGTAGGCCCCGGCCACAACGTGTCCTTGATTGATCTGGTCCTTAATTTTACCCATGAGCTCTCAACATGTTCCAGGCTGCTAACAGCAAATGAACACTGTCACTGTATTGAAGCAAAATATATTTTTAAGTCATGGTAATATATTTATACATGGTAACTTGATGCATTTTAAACCATCCATAAATAAAGGAAATCTGGCAGTCTGAGTGTAGTAAAAGTAGTGTAACAATCCCTCAAAAATTGAGCTCTTCTTTTTTTCTTTTTTTTTTTCCCCAGGTATAATCACCTTGCTTGTTACTGTGAGTCTGTTCTCAGCCATGAGGTCACAAGGCCCTGCTGTGACACCATGGCATGGGGTTACAACATGCAGTGATACTGCTTCAGGCAGTGTGTTCACAAGGCCCTGCTATGACTTTGTGCTGGGCTGTGGGTCCATAAGGCCCTACTATGACTGTGCTGGGCCATGAGGTTACAGTTCTTCACTGTGACATTACGTTGGGCTGGGACGTCACAAGGCCCTGCTGTGACACTGTGGCAGGATGTGAGGTGACAAAGCCCTGCTGTGACTGTTCTGGTCAATGAGGTTACAATGCTGTGCTGTGACACTGTGCCAGGCAGTGAAACCACAAGGCCCTGCCGTGATGCTGTGCCAGGCTGGGACGTCACAAGGCCCTGCTGTGACCATGTGCTGGGCGACGAGGGTACAACTCCATTCTGTGAAGCTGTGCTGGGATGTGAGTTCACAAGGCCCTAATATGACTATGTTCTGGGCCGTGATGTTACACAGACGTGCTGTGACACAATGCTGGGACATGAGGACACAAGGCCCCACAGATACGTTGTACTGGGCTGTGAGATCACAAGGCCCTGCTATGATTTTCTTCTAGGCCATGATACTACAAATGTCTACTCATATCTCTTCAGTGCCACATTCAGGAAGAATGTGATTAAACTCAACTTCACCTCTGACAATATAACAGTAAATAATATAGAGTCGACAACCTGTGATTAATAAATATCTGAAAAATTATTTATCTGTGGGGTTTACTGAGCTATTTTTAATGGAGATTAAAACCTACAGGGAAAAAAAATAAAAAATAAAAAAAAGTGATACACTGGAAACAATTTCCTAAAATCAAGACCGCTTAATAGAAGAAATCAGGACTCCAAACTACTATATACTTTTCTTCAACCAGGGATCTCAAAGCACTTCAGAAAGGACGATGGTAGTTTCATAAAGGAGCACCAACAGTTTAGACGACCAAAGTGACTTGCTCTAAGATCAAGGCCAGACTGGCTTCCTATCTTAATATACCAATATATATATTTTACTAATAAGATCACAAATGAAACCCTAGATCCTTAAATACTAGTTGAGGAGGCTATGACCATGGGTAAATGTCAGATTTTATTTTTAACATCATTATATTCTATAAGACACAGAAACAATAGGATCTTTATTTTAAAACATCCATAATCATAATATTTTGCAGTCTTCTGATGTAGAAATCTTTTGGATTTGAGATCATTAGCAGCTCAGCAATTGCAGCACTTGAGTTGAAATGTAACATCTACCTGGCATTACAGGTGCAAATGGCATGCACAATGCAGATTTAAGGATAGAAAACGATTATTCTGTTGAAGACAACCAACAGATTACTTACAATCAAGAGGAAAACTAGATCATTTCCTACAGTACCAAAGCACCCTGGATCACAGCATCAAAATGTCTGAAATTTCAAACAAACAGTGTGTTTCTGATCTGTTTTGTAGGTAGTGAGATACTCAAAGTGCTTCCACACTCACAGGCTGAATAGAGGAGATGAGTGTCAAGAAAATTAAAAAAATGAATAAATATATAAAAAATTTAAAAAAATAAAAAGAAGAGGGAGGAAAAAAAAATGAGGAAAAGGGAGCAAAATTGGCTAAGTTTTAATAGAAATAACATTGTTATATAATTCAGAACTATATGGTTATAAGTTAGGGTCTGTGTAAAAATATGGTCATTTGCCTAGAGTAAAGAACCAGCTTTCTGTTTCATTCATGGTACAGAATATATCCATTTTGGCAGGAAATGGTTCAAAATACTTAATTTCTATGAACGTTCATCATAATTTGTCTAATTTGGCTTTATAATGTTAGCCACTGCAAAATAGCACTCAAAACACAAATTAAAATGTTTAATTGAAGCTGCAATAGTCATTTTGGAAAGTGCAACATTAAAGTGTTCAAAATGTCAAGGAAATCCAAGACACTTAAATGAGAATGAGAAGCTGGTTGAGGGAAGGAATGTCCTGTTCTACTCTTGAGGTGCAGGCCTCACCTCAAGTACTGTGTGTGGTTTTGGGCACCACAGTATAAGAAGGACATAAAACTATTACAGAGCATCCGAAGGAGGGCTAGGAAGGTGGTGAAGAGTCTAGAGGACAAGACATATGAGTGGCTGAGGTGACTGGGTTTGATCAGCCCAGAGCAGAGCAGGCTGAGGGGAGGCCTCATGGCGGCCTGCAGCTCCCTCACGAGGGGAGCGGAGGGGCAGGCGCTGAGCTCTGCTCACTGGGGACAGCGACAGGACCCGAGGGAATGGCATGGAGCTGGGACAGGGGAGGGTCGGGCTGGGGGTTAGGGAAATGTTCTGCACGCAGAGGGTGGTCGGGTACTGGGACAGGCTCCCCAGGACAGCGGTCATGGCCCCGAGCCTGCTGGAGTTCAAGAAGCATTTGGACAATGCTCTCAGGTATAGGGTCTGTTTTTTGGGTGGTCCTGTGTGGACCCAGGAGTTGGACTTCATGAGCCTTGTGGGTCCCTTCAAACTCAGGATATTCTATGATTCTTCTATAAGTTTTCAAAGCAAGTATTAAATTATCATTGTCCTTGTAGGCGACTTGTCTGATGTCATGGTCATGACCTACTGACCAGGCAAGGCTCACTGAAGGCACAGGTGAGATAAGTGCCCAGTCTTCAGCATTTTGCACTCTGCCACAACCAGTCCCAGTAAATACTAAAATCTGTTCTGAAATGATGCAATCTGTCATTTTTTCATCACCGTTAACTTTGGTCAATGAAATACACTCATAATGTGTTTTGATTTTTAACTCAATTTCATAATCTTTATTGTAGTCTCAGGTGTCAATTTAACGTCATAAAATATATATATATCAAAGCTTATCCTGAAAGTGTTGGGTATTACCTTTTTTTTTTTTTTTTTTTTTTTTTTTTGAGGTACCAGGTAATAAATACTATTTTATTTAACAGGTTTATGGTAATATATAATAAATTGACAAGTGAATCGGAGTCCTGCTTCTGGCCTGCTACTAAACACAGGCACATCACTTTGTACACCTGACATTTTAAGTAGACACAGTTTTCTCTCCAGCAAGCCAGTGCCATTAGCTGCCAAGGGTATGATCTACTATTGCTACTTTTGGTTTTATCTGTACATTAGAGTTGTCTTCTGTCTGAGTTGTCAGACAGGATAAATCATCCTCCAATTCACAGACGCCACCCGCTCTGCTGCAAAAGAGTGTCGTTTGATGATTCTTTAATTTTCCGGCAGAAGGTGAGGTGTTTGTTGTGGCCCCACTTCCCGCTGTCTGTTCTCCTGAGGCCTTTCCTCCAGGACTGACGGCTGCTTCTTTCCCACTGCTGAAGTGGTGATCTGCAAACTGATCTGCAAACTGGGATTAACCCATCTTCCTTAAAAATTGATTTGAATTTTTTGTTTGTTTCCAACTTAAACGAGTCCTTGTGATCATGTCCTATATGTTCTTCTGTGAGTCTCCCATAACTGTATGTTTTGCTAAAAGCCACTACTTCTGTTTGTATATTATCTTGCAAAGTTTTATCTGGAAAACATGACCCACACGTGTCCATTATGTTCCAGTGCCAGGAGGTAGGAAAAAGAACTGTGAAGGTCGTATTTTTTTCTTCATTTAATTATTTTAAATTGAAATTAATAATTCATGGAAGAGGAGATCTGATTGAAGACTTCTGAAAGTTTGGGGTTGGCAGAATTGGGCCTGGAACAAGGTGTGCTTCGGTTGGCACGTGAGTAGTGTTACCTGCTAAAGGAGGGGCAGAAAGCCTCTAGGCCAGCAGAATGCTGCCATGCCAAGGTTTTCCTGCCTTCAGAAAGGGTTGGTGGAGGACTTCTTGATGTTATCCTCATTCTGTAAGCTGATTTAATAATGAAAATATTGAATCCCATTCCCTAGAGCCTTAGTCAGTATTTCATGCAAATTTATCTTAAAGATGTAATTATTAGTGTGGACCAGTCGTGGTTGGACATTGTGATTTTTTATGGATTCCTGTACTGTTTTGGATGAATACTGTTACAAGGCCCTACCTGCATAGTTTTGTATTCGTTGACGAGTTCCACATCCTGCTCCTTGTGCTCTTCCAGTCTGAATGTTGCCCAACTGCCCCAGCTCTGTATCCTTGACATTCTTTTTCCCCACTTAGGTCAGAGTGATTACTATTGATAGTCTGAGCTGCTCACAGGCTAAAATTTATGGACATTTTGCAATTAAGCATTTCTTAATGTTATCTTTAGTAGGTGTGTAAGAAATAATATGAAGTGTAATGCTTCCATTGTGCTTACTCCTATCTGTCTTGCCTTTTGTGTCTTTTTTTTTTTTTTTTTTTTTTGGGGGGGGGGGGGGTGGTTTGGTTTGGTTGGTTGATTTTGGTTATTTTTCTGCAACGATGCTCTCTGAAAACCTTACTATGTCAGTTACAAACAATGAAGTACTTCAGAGACGCAGATTTTAGGTAAGGTACAAAAATGTTTGCAACTTACTTCACTAATATAGCTATAGACTCAATATCAGCTGACTTAATATATGGTTTTAATTGTAGCAGTTGAGAGACACTGTGGACTGCAGAGCACAGATATTTTTATTTTTAAATACAACTTCACAAACCAAGGAAAAGCATGGAGAAGCTGTCCTGAAGTGGATCTCACGCTCTTGTGTTTCTCCATTACACCCGTTAACAACTATGCTAGAAACAAGCAGCAGATTTTTTTTCCACTTGGTGAGTAATTGTCTGCACAGCAGTGACAGATGTGCAATATAGCAGCTTCTTCAGGAAAAAATTAACAGTTTGTCCAGCATGTCAGCTCGCTCTTTTTAGTGCTTCGGAGGTCTTGGCCCCATTATGGATGATTTAGAAATTGAGGCAAGCTAAGACCAGCTGCCTGGGTTGAAAGCCTTAGTTAGTAGCCCTCATCTGCATTCCAGTATTCACTTACATCTAGAAATTGGTAGGGCCCCTCTGGCCACAAGATGAGTATGGGCTGACAATGCCTTGATTTGTTGAGAGAGAGAATAAATGGGTTTTTCAGAAGATGAGGAAATATCACCATTACTGGCCAATTTACAGCATTTTATCTGTTCTTCAAACATGTCACTTTTGTTATTGTTGCATGGTAATTACATAGTGAAACGGAAAGAAAACAAATTCTGGTTACATATTCAGATGGATTGCAAAATCATATAATCCTGATAAATGCCCATTTATGATACACACGGATGAAAGGTTCATTTTAATTTTGAATAGCTAGCACAGCCATAAATAGGATATAGGATTAGATCCCACAGAATCCGATTACCTAAAAGCAAATAGTATTTTTCTTCACTTTTTTCATAACCAGGAAATTCGGTGTGTGCAGGGTATTTAAATAAGTAGGTTTTCCATAAAAATATATGAAGTAAATATAGTTCAATAGTTTTTATGTTTTAAATATAATCATTTAGGACTATTCAGCTAGGTCTTTTCTAAAACATTTATAAAAAGACATCAACCCATCAATATTGCTGAAAAAGATATCTCACAGATATAGCCTATGCAAGGTATACATATAGAAGAATTGGAAATCTAGTATAGCAACAACAACAAAAGATAGTATTGCTTATATATTATGAACTGCAACTCTTAAACCTTCTTAACAGCTTTCAAGAAAGTTTTAGGGTAAACGTTGCATTTAAGAAGCAAATTTTGACACCACCCTAAGTAGCTGCAATTCTGACAACAGTTTTCATGCCAGAATCACTCTATAACATACGGGAAGCTCCATTTTCTTCAATGAGAGCACATGAGGAAAGGAGCTGTGTGACAATACATGCATGTGTTAGCAGAAATGCGTACAAGTGATTCCTGATTTTTCACGAAGATGGGAAAAAAAATGCTTTGTGTGTAAAGCCATCTGCTTCATAATCCTTGGTTTCCAAATTATCTTTATAAGACCTTTAAGGAGAGTTTGACATTGAATCAAGAAAAGCAGGGAAAATAGACCCACTCAGTCTTCATTGAGTCCCCTCCACTCTCTCTCCATGAGCCAACATCTCTGTCCCTGGAGGAAAGCCAAATGCCCACAGTCCTGTGTGACATGGCAAAAGCTGCCTCAGCTGCAGTAAAAAGCTTGGTGGCAGAGCTGGCCACCTACAGCATGTGCTTCCAAGGGAAGAAAGAGTTGAAAGCTTTAGTGGCAAAAGCTTTGCATATGTCCAAGCATGGTGCCATGCTGTGCTTGGTCAGGCTTCATGTTAGATGTTGTATTTTGGAACGGAGAGCTAATGAAGATGGCTAATTAAAATTCTCTCAGAAAGGAATACAGTTAGGTTCTTACTAAATGTTTACAAGCAGCAAAATCTAGCCTGACTTTTTTCAGCTGTTTTTATTCAAATGCATTATAAACATGAGTAGGTACCAGCAATCTGAGCAACCAGCCTTTGGTTAAATCTGGCCTCAAATGATTAAATTGTATCTGCCTGAATTTGTCCACCTTGTAATCTTTTAAAGATTTGCAGGTTTAGGTCAGTTATTACAGTTCAGTTTATGGGTACATAAACCTGATGGTATTGCAGGTAAATATTACATAAATTACTGGTATCATTCTCTTCCTTAACCCTACACTGTATTTTTAATAATTTAATATTTCTCCTCCTCTTTTGGCAAGTTCTGAATCTATATACAGCTATTGGTAAGATCAATGAAAGATTTCAAAACAGCTTTTCAGTGGGTCAGGCTTCCTGGTCGCAGGGAGATGGGATATATTAAAAAAGGTAATCTGTGGGAGGCAGTGACAGAAGCTCTCCTGCTTAGGACTTCTGAATATGGGCTGTCAGTTGGTTAGAGATCCCTGGACAGGGGTGGCCAGTGCACTCCAGGCAGGGCTATGGGTGGAGGAGTCATTGTTTGAGGTTTCAGAGGAAAGGAAATGATGTGATCTGAATTATATTATTTTGTGTTTCTACAGCAGGTGTACTAGTAAAGAGTCTAAAATGCCCTTTCCATGTTATTGTCATTTCCACAGTTCTCTGCTCTTAACTGAGTTTTATTATCATCTTAGCATTGACTAACTTTAAAAAAAAAAAAAAAAAAAAAAAAAAAAAAGTGTTTCATATGCTTCAGGGTAAAGTAGGGGCAAGTGTGCAGAATGGCTACACAAAGTATATCTTGGGAGATTATCTGTAAGATAAATTTATGCAGCCAGCTGAAGACCTTCAGATACAGTAAGTATTTGCTATAGTTCTGAATGCTCAGTTTTATCTCAGAGTATTAAGTATGTTCTATTTTTGTTAATTTACCTTCTAAATCCCTTTTGTGGATTGTGATGCACTGTCCCTCCTTAACAGACTTCGCTATGTGACTCAGCAACAAAACAGTTGTCCCAGTTGTTGTCTTGAAATGATTTGGGGGATGTTCCAAAAATAGACATGCTATATTTTCTGATTGTGCATGTGTGTGTGCTGAAAAAGCAGAATTTTAACTTGAATAACATTTAGAAGAGTTTTTCAGTTTCTCAGTATGATGATACATACACACTCAGAAGAAAACCAGTATATAACAAAGAGAAGATTTCAGCTTCAGTGAATCAGTGCTGTGTCTTTTCCCTTCCCATTCAGACTGAAGCTTTCCTGCTGCTTTACATAAAGCAGAGTGTTAGATGTAGCTATATGCTGCTCTAGCCTGACTTTAAACAAGCATCCCAAGTGGCTGTTGGAATATGAATAATACTTGGTCATCACCTTCAGAAAGGCCATAGTTTTGCCATGAGAGAAATTATGAAGTCCTCCTTTAATTATTATTATCATCCTGAATTTTTTGGTAGCACTGAACCTTTCATTATATGTTGCCACCTGGTACAGTTGCATCCAAATACAGCCTCGTGTTTGATTGCAGGGTCTGCAACATCAGCCTGTAGGATTGTGTTGCTGAAACATCTTCCCTTAGTCTCTGGTGCTGCACATATGTAGGATGTTGCAGTTGACTCAAAAGGCCCAATTTCTTCTGGTAGATATATCGATCACAGGTGATACTGTGCAGGCGATACCCCAAGAAGGCAAGGAGGAAGCTGTAGCAAATTCCAATACAGCTGAAATCATAGCAAGGTTGTGGATGTACTTCATACTTCCTTGTATAATTAGGATGAAATGCAGTTATCTCAAGGGTCCTTAAAATCACTTGTTGGTTAACAAAATATACTCCCACACAGGGTACTTCTATAAGGTCACTTAAACAGAGCTTAGGAACAAAAATTAAAACTACACAATTTCCATGCTAGTAACAGAATAGGCAGGCAGTAGCTTCCCCACTGTTGCCAGTCCCAGCAGAACAGAGTGGAGGCCGTCAGCAAACAGCACAAGGCTGCTCCTCAGCCTCTGCTGCAGGACAGGGCTGCCGCTGTGCTCCCCAGCCCTCTTCCTGCAGCAGCGTGTTCGGATCAGGGATACTGGGAGCTGTTGATATCTATGAGTAGATGGCACTTACCTGCAGAATAGTTTCTCACTCTGTAATACAAGGAGTAGTGAAGTTCAGAGCACATGAGGGTCTTGGTCCATATTCTCAAGATGACTGCATTTTTGTGCAGGTAGCATTGTGTTCAAGTGGCAATTTTGGAGATTTATTTAGAGGTGACACCAGGCATTCATGAGGACTTTAGTAAACTCCTTCACCCTCTGTGACTCAGTTCTCTCAGACATTGTTGCTATGCCCTAGTTGTGTGCATATCCCTTTGTGTCTTGTTTTCTGTGACAGCTTCAAGAAGTAACATCAATCCAGCCCAAATATAAGACCAGTCAAAGGCTTTACGTCAGTCCCAGTTACTGTTCTCCTTTTACTACTTTCTTTACATTTGCCTGCCTCCAGATGCTTAAGAGAAGCTGTAACAGGTATCTTTGTGAAAATCAAGGCATATGGGAGCATGGTGGTCTAAAGTAATCGGACACATTGATCCAGCTCAAACAATTAAAATGCTAATCTAGAAGCTGCTGCTCATTTTGTTTGGAATCTGTGACTTCAATCTGAAAACTCACTCATTATACCTCTGGTATTTTATTTTTGCAGCGAGTTAATATGGCAGACCCAAGGCAAAGCCATGTCCATAAATTGGTTTTAATCCAGAATGTAACATATAAAATATGCATCTAAAGTACAAAACAGACCAAAGAAATAGCAGTCTTATTACAATACACTTGGATCAAAGTGCTGCCTAATTTCAAAGTCCTGTGTACCTTGTACCAAGTTGCAGCCACCTGACAAGTACCGCCTTCGTCTTTGAGTAGAGAGGAGACAGCTGTATTTTCTCCCCAGGTGTGGACTTCACATCCATAACCTGGATTAGTTTAACCTGCATCCTACTCTTGTTTCTCATGTGGCACCTTTTGGTTAACGTGACAACCTGGTTCATATGAAACCTAAGATTATTCAGAACCAGCAGGCAATGATAAAATAAACCCACAGGTGTCCCATACTTGTCAGGTGGTCTCATCAGCATGCATTGGTGACAAGAAGCACACAACAGTCCTGGGGCTCTGTATTCACCCATGGGCTGGGACAGGCTGTGGATTTCTCTTTCCCATGCTGTGAGGGACATCCTCATGGAACATGCCAGCAGAGCTCATGGTGAAAGACCCCCCAGTGAAGCAGGTGCTTCTGGTGGGGGCATTAGGCCATCCAGCCCTTTGAGTGAGCACTCACCGATGGAGGAAAGATGGGGGAAACATCCTGGTCTGGCACATGATTTGGCGACATCACTTTATCATCACAGAACAGATTCTGCAGGCTCAGGTGGAGGTATGTGGTGGCTGGAAGGACCTGCTTCTCTTCCCATAGCGGGCATCGCTGTTGGTGATAGATCACAACAAAACTGAATAAAAGCAGTAGCTATTTTTCATGCTGTCCTCTGCCATTTCCTCCCGTAAAGAGCAGATTTTTGTATGTTAATGTTTTTATTGTTTTAATATTCTTGTTTTCCTCATTCATATTCTAAGGTATTATTGGTAGTGCCAACTCATTTGATTTATTATTTAGAGAAAGCACTTGTTCAAAAAGTCTGCACTGGATATTAAATGATGATTGCTTGCAATGAATTTCTTCTTAACATCTGCAAAGACAATTTTGTCTTTTCTTCTTCCACTTAACTCTAAATGAGAGATCTTAAGCATAGTTAAATAGGATTCATAATATCGTGCTGACTGAAAATCATCTTGAAATGGGGAATATGAAGGCAAAAATAGTTATCACATACAAAGCCCTCTTCCCTCTGAATTTCAAAAAGAGGGAAGGGGAGGATGTTGTCTCTGGGTGCACATTAGTATTCGTGATTGTGTGTGTGGTGGAAAGAAAGAAAATGCCAGGGTCAGAGCCACAGGTTTAGTGGAGGTGTGGATCCCACACACTCACTTCCTCTCCCTTCTGGCTTTTAAGCTGTTAAAACTGATACTTTAGTGTGTGATTAGCATTCTAAAAAATAAATAAAGTATATAAACTGGTCTGTTTTTTTTGTTTGTTTTTGTTTTTTTTTGCTGTTGTTTTGTTCTGGTTTGTTTGCTTTCATATATTTTACTGTGCTACCCTAAAATGCACTCCAAAGCCAATTCCAAAGAAACTTTCCCTGACTTGAGTAAGCGCCGTGTCAGGTACATCTTCACTCACAAATATCTTGCCATTGTTTTTGTGGGTTTTTTTGTTTGTTTATTTATTTGTTTTTTTGGCCAAGCAAGTAGCTTCTCAGTAACTGTTTCATTAGCATCCCAGTAGAAAGATAATGCCTCCATGTTAATTACCAGTTTTACACAGCTGCTTTAAGAACACTTGTGCAAGTGGGGCTGCTGAAGGCACTTCATCTCGCCATCCTTGAGAAACAAACATGAAAGTGGCTGTAAATTAAGGTGCAATTTAGGTGTTCATTGCCACTAGCCAGGTTACAAAGGTGGACAAAATGAGCAAAAAGATAATTAAATTGCAGATTTAATTAAAGATAATTATCAAGAAGGCTGGTAAAACAAACGTGTATATTATTTCATGAATTTCATAACTTGAAGTCTATGACGAGGCTGAGCTTTTTAGCATTGCTTTGGTGATTCTTGTTTGTAATACAACTTTATTTTCTATGAATGGGAAAAAGCCATGGGTAGCAACTGAGTACATTAATGTTTAAAATAGTTGGCTTCTTTAAAAAGTACAGCTGTACTGAAACACTAAAGCATAAAACAGTTTCTGGCATAGTATGTGATGTTGTATTTCTGAATATATTATTATGAGGCTAATTGTCACAGAATTATGTTTGAATTCTATGACACATCCTAACAACAGTGACGTGAGCTGCAGAGCAGGGATTGCTCACATAATTATTTGCCCTCTTTCCCCTATAGATTGTGGCAAACAGTAGGAGTGACTCCAGCTGCCCTACACTTGGAAAACACAAATTGATTGCTCTTGCTTAAAGCCTCACAGCCTGCACACCTCTCTGCTAGATCTTATGCATCTGCTGGAGAAAAGGGAAACATCATAACCCAAATTATGGGACATTTGGTGATTACAATGGAATTGGAGAAGGCCATGATAATAGATCTTTAGCTTTTTTTTTTTTTTTTCTCCTTTTTTCATAGAATGTAGCTGTTTTATTAGCTGTAAGTATACATGGTGGCGTGATGTGACCTGAAGTTTTCTTCAGCTTTTGTTAGAAATGGTTTTCTTACTAAGAAGAGAATTCAGACTTAAACCTGCCAAATATGTCTTCTATTTTGTATCGTTATATATTCCATGTATGCCAAACAGGTTGCAAAATATTATTTTGTGAGCAAATTATTCTATTGCAGTGGCTTTTTTCTTTCTGTCCTTTCTTTTTTTTCCCCACGTCTCTTCATCCTCCAGCTTGCCTTATTTCCTAAAGACCATATTGTGCTTTTCAAAGGAGATGAAATTGGTAAATAAGGATATTTCAGACATCTGTGTAATTACTTTGGAATGGGTAATTTCTAAGAACATATTTAAACATGTACACAGACATAATTCTTTTTATTCTTGTTTTAGATAAATTTTTAAATGGAGAGAAAGACGGTAGCAAGCACTTGTTTAAATCTCAGTGACTTCAGATGAAATGTATACTCAATTAACGCAAGAATCCTTACCTGAGCTAGGACCTGAAGGGGGAAATGAAGCTTAAGAAGACACAGGCAGGTAAAGACCCTCACGTGTTTATGTGACTGCATGCTTGTGACTCGTTTGAGCATTATTTATTGGCCCAAGGTGGGCAGCAGCTGAGCAGTGGTGCAAAGATGCAGACAGCTCCCTGTGCTGCCTCAGGCTCTGCCTGAGGAATGACCAGCAGCTGGAAAGTCTGGGTGAGGTTTCCAGCCATGCACAGGAGCAAAATGTGAGGCTCCAGAGCACCTCCAGGACTACACGTTGATGTGGGACAAGGGTGCCTAGTGGCACCCAGGGGATGTCTCACTTATGTAGGGGGCAGGTTATGCTGGGATGATTATTGATTCAATAGACTGTATTAGCTCTCTTTGAGCCCGTAGAGGTCTGTTGTGTAGCTCTGTGTTTAGGGACTCTTAAATATACCTTGTGAATGACCTGACAGACTGTAACTGCTTCAAAAGTGATGTTACCGGGGGTGCTGTAAATCCTTCGTAGTTCTTGAGTAGCTGAGCATCACCTCAGAGGCAGCCTGATGTGCACACCCTGCCCAGGAGCTGAAAATGTTGGTAGTAATGCTGGGATTTGTGATTTCCTTAGCTCATTGCATTGTTGTCTGCAGGTTTTAAAGCTCTTTCATATGGTCATCTGATAGTAACCAAATCAAACTGGATAGAGATGAGGGAAAAAATGGTCCTGAAACCACTAAGCTGTTTCTTTGTGTCCTCTAACTTAGCGCTTCTGTATAAATTAGTGGTGGTATTTTTTTTCCTTTCCTGTTTTTCTCATTTTTTTCCCTGAAGTGCTCCTGGGTTTTGTCTTTGCATGCAAAATTTCAGCCTAGAGCTAGTTGTTACTGTTGATGAATCACAAACTGCTTAAAGATAGGGTTATAAAGGAAATTCTGAAACATGCTTAAGTACAGTAGCATGAGCTTGCTTCCCAGGCACCAAAATAAACCAGATTTTCCCTCTGCAATGTGTTCTATTAAGTCATCCACAGCTTTCAGAATCTCATGTATTTCTTTCCTGATTCCCTGTTTGGATTTATCCGTGTTGTTTTGAAAAGGATAGGCTCAAGCCTGAGCCTGTACTCCCAAGTCCTGCTGTTTGTTGCCTAAGGAGCATACAAAGGTTTAGATTGCATCTTTTCAATGCATTATGGCACCGCAGCCTAAAGCCAATACTTGTTTTTTAACTGGCAACCTGCCTGTACGAATGGAGGAAGCAGATTGCCTCTTTGCTGAACACTTAGACAAGGTACTGATTTAACAACAGTGGACAAGCAGCTGGGAGCTGGGCTGTCAGCCTGTCACACACTGACAAATCTGTTGTTCATATTCAGGCAGGATGTTCCAGTTAGATTGCCATCAGTATCATCCATCTACCACAGGCATGCAAGGCGTACCCATGTTGCCTGCATACCCATAGACAAAATGCTGTTGATACAGCTTTCTGAAGGAATCTTAAGAAAACAGCTAATTTGCCTTTTTTTTTTTTTTCTTTTGGTGGTCTTCTGCAATGAGATCACTACAGCAGCACATTCAATTTTTGTCTCTCTCTTTGTTTCCCATTCGGTATGCTGGAATTATGTGTGCAAATTGGTGGTTACTCTAATTTCATGTCTTAAGCATGAAAGGAAACCTCTGAATGGAGCCTTACCACTTTTTATCAAGCCATAAAGGCTTTTTCAAAATCCAATTCAACAAAATACAGTCTGACTAAAACAGAAGTAATAAAAGCAAAAATGGTGATGAATAAATACACACAGAAATTACATTGTTCTCGCCTCCAGACTCATTTCAAACATATTTTCATATACCCACAAGATTTGTAACGCTGAAATAATGCACTCCAGAATTATTTCATCCACATGGCAAAGCTCAGTCTGTGAGGGACCGCTCAGCTAAAACCTGTCTGTCTGTGTTCATGGTAATCAGCTGGAGTCGATCTATACTGGGTTTGTGTATAGGAGTGGGTGTGGGGAGGTGGCATTTGTCAAAGCTGTAGAACATGTGCTGTAATTATTTTATTCCAGTTGTACTCTTGCCTATTTCTTTTTCTTTTTCTTTTTCTTTTTTTTAATTTGGAAAAGCTGCTTTTGAATACTCTGATTATATATTCAACAGATTATAGTTTTATATGATCCATCCTTATGTCATAGTTATCCAATTTGCAGCCCCGTGTGCCCTTTATCATCTTCTGTTCCAGCTGCAAATCTGTAATACCAAAGCCCACAAAATGAACTCCTGAATTTAGCTCAGAAAAAATGAAAAAGGTGCATCTGTAGTTTCACCTGAATTTTCCATCTGATTTTGCTGCTGCCTGTTCATCACCTCTGTGTAATAGGAATAACCCACAGCTTTCTCAAGGAGGAATGAGTCTAGTCAACTTACTACTAATTCTCCTAGTGGTATACACTTTTTTACATTTATAGACAGGCATAGGCGTAATTTAGAACAGTAATGACTCTGAAAAGTGGTCAGCTAGTCAAATTCTTACTATTAATCTATATCCTTTCACATTTTAACCTAATACTGCAAAAATCATAATGTGACATACATTTCCATAGTGTGTAATTTAATCAGCTAATATCTTCAAATGCTCTCCTCAGCCTCTTCAATGTAATACCTTTTCTGGTCAAGAAAGCCATTTACCTTTGCTATATTTTTCACAGTAAGTTCAAGATCTTCTGGAAAACACCAAGATTCATGCAGGTTAGTTAAGTTACACATCTAAAAGGAAAAGAAGAACCTTGTAATTTTAAAGTTTTGGTTTTTGTACATCCGTTGATAAGAAAACTCATAAGTAGAAAATAGGGCGGTACAGGTTGCAGCAAATTCCCACACAGTGCTGGGAGCCATATAAAAGGTCAGGAAAAACATGCATAAAGAAGATGGGCAGATATCTACAGGGGTGCTTTTTGGTAAAGTCTGCAGCCACAGCCTAGTGCTTGGTCTGTTAAAATAGCCCTACAAATGCATCAGATGTCAAATGCACGCTGTAGACTTAGAAGGTGGGGGAATTCCTACGTTCTTGTTAAAAATATAAATGAGGTCTGAGGGAATCAGGCTGCTTTTGTGGTTGATTATGAATAAAAATAAACATGCTTTAAAGTCTTTTATACCTGGTCACATGTCAAGGCTTAGCTCCAACTTTTGTACACAGCAATATCAGTTCCTTATCTTTATAAAATCTCTGGGTGTTCTTTGCTCTGCTCTGAAACCTCAGTGATTTTTGATTGACAGAAAGATTACCTAATAAACCTTCACCACAAACTAATTAATCACTGTGAATACAACGCTAAATTGGCAGGCATAAAAAAGCAAATGAGATGGGTGTTGAAGACCGTTTTCAAATGACCTTAGTTAAAAGCCAAGTACAGAGTGTTGAGAGCATCAATAATATTGCACTGCTAGTAAACTTACTCCTTTACTAGAGCTGGTGGCTTCAGCATCGTGTGAGGGCAAGACACAAAGTCCTGCCCTCCCCTCCTGCACAGCCACTAGCCCCCTTTAGCAGGTGGGAATGCACGGTGGGAGCGGGGCAGTGTTCAGCTCTGGGGTCACCAGGACAGCAGAGCAGAGCTGAAGGAGCTCGGGACATGGGCAGAACTGGATCTGCTTTATAGTTCCTCTGTCCTCTTTTTGCAGTTAATAATTGCTAATACTTTTCTCTAACAAAATGCACTTTTACAGTTGTTATCTTGATGCCAAAATTCCATTGCAGCAGTGAGGCACGGTTTTATTTTATTTTCCTACAGGAGGGCTGCTTTGCTGCAAAGCAGCCAGAGTGCTCCTGCCGGTCACACAGCCCCTGCGAGCTGTGAGATTGCTTCTTCCCCACGCACAAGTTTAGCAAAGATAAAGTCACCACAAAGTGATATTCCTCACAAGTTTATCTAAGTCTGAGGCTTAGGTCAATATAAGATCTTAGTTCTCCATTTTCTTTCTTCTTTTCCGATGACTGAATACCATGCACAGCCTTATTTATGGCTCAGGTATAGGGTACTCCAGCATCACCGCAGGAAATACAGTTGTCAATTCCTTAAGCCTTGAAATTAAAGACAGGAGAAAGCTCTGATGGTTTTTATCCTACTTGGATTGTTCCCCCATTCAGGGAGGCTAATATCAGGGATTTTGCTCAGGCAGCCCTGGGGGAATGCATCGCTGTCAGCAGGGCAGCTGCCTCCTCCTGGGCAGAGCCACCCCGGACCTCGCTGGGCTCCCTGCTCTGCTGGTGGGGCTGGGATGAAGGCAGCAACTGGGAGCGATGGAGCAGGTCACGCAGCCTCCTGCCACATGGAGGTGTGGGGAACAGAGCGCATAAATTAAAAAATAGATAAATATATATATACCACAGCAGTAAACCAAACCAATGTGAATACAGCATTTTTTTTTTTTTTTTCAGCAGATGTAGAAATTGAGAGAGTCGTGTTTCTGTCTGTAATTACAGCCTGGTAAAGCCTGCTTCTGTGTCCTTTCAGCTGTGTTCTGTGGTGAATCCTGGCTTAATATCAGCACTGTGTTTCATTAACATGCTGCTTTACCCATTCATCTTAGAAGTGGAAAAACATAGGCTTTCTTTCCTGCAGTTTTCAAACAGGTACCTACTTTCCATCTCAGTGCCTTGCTAACTATTTGTTTCTGATCTTTTGCTTTTTTTCCCTGGAAAGAAGTACTCCTGTGTAAACCAGCAGATACTGCTACCCTGCCCCACGTGTCTGTGAGCAGATAGGTGCAGTGATTAACCTGATTCCAGCTGGTGCCTCTGCTTTCCTATCCATCCACTTAACATGTGGGCTTTGACATATATATTTTTTCTTGCTGAGGCTCTGGTTCATGATCTGATTATTTATAAAAAAATTTATTTTGTTAATTATGCTCAAATCCTGGAGGGCTGGGACAGGGAGCAGACACCCATGGTCCCTTCCAGCTGATGACAGCTGAACATGCCTCGACCCCTCCGACCTGCAGTCTTCCAGCACCTTGTTTGTCAGCAAGGCACAGTTTGTGTGGCCAGCCCCAAGCACCGCTTCACCTCCGTAGCTACAGAGCAAAGCAGACCTACAGGTGTCCTCTCCAGCTCTCTTTTCACCTTTTATGCTCTCTCAGCTGTTCCCATTGCCTATGTTTGAGCCCGTGCATCGCTTCTGTCCCCTGGTCCTGGTGGCTGCTCCCAGCCCCTCTCCCGACAGCATGGCCTGGCCAGCACGAGCTGTCTGCTCGGCTCCGAACACGGACGTCGCCTCTCACAACAAGCGGCCGCTGCTTCCAGAGAATTTAATGAATTGGCTGCTGTTCTCCCAACCACTTATTTGCCTCCTGCAGCCCCCCCCCCCCCCCTTCCCTGCCGGTCCCTTCCCCTCCCCGCTCCCATCCTGGCTGCTCAGAGGCAGCCGAGAGAGGGAGAGAGGAATTATTTATTGTGTGCCTGTTGAAAATGAAAGGCTTTTACATTTTAATGAGCACTAAATAGGAGCGAGGAAATATTGTTCATTAGCTGTAATCTGTGGAATTGCTTGAGTGAACTTCCTTTGGAGGCCGCTTTAAACGGTTCACTCAAGTAAAGCAGTTTGTATGGTAATTAAGGGAGCATTTTTCTGTCAACATCTGTGCTGCTATTTATAACGCTGAAGGTATCTTATTACTCCACCGGAGAAACATTAAAAGAGGGTGGGCAGAGGGGAGGTTGTATTTTATATATATATGTAAAAATATATGCATATATATATAAGAAATTACTATTTTTTCTTCAAAACATTTCCTTTTTCTGTGTCCCTTTTTGCTTTATTATTCTCTTCCTACCACCCCCCCCCACCCCCCTCCCCAATTTGCAAAGAATAAAAAAAAAATCCCCATCCAGTGTTTCCTGATAGTAAGGATTATCATCCTGACATCTTTTCATTAATCATACCCTTTGCTCAGCAGCCAGGCAGGGAGACTCAAGCTGCCTGGCAAAAAATGAGAGGCCCATATCTTTGGAAACTGTTCCTTGTCCCTCTCCTGTCCGTGGTAATACAGATGCCTTCGTTCAGCCACATTGTCACGGTGTCCCCAGTGGGGTCACACCGCACCGCCTAGTTCTCAGCACATGGCGGTGGTAGTGCTGCTGCTCAAAACCCAACCAGGCTTCTGGTGGTTTGTGGTGAGGGGGCAAGGAGTGGTAGGGGGGAAAAACCTTCAGTGCATTCAGTCTCATTATGTTATTTAAAAATCAAGGTTGGTATTTCAACGTTGGTGCTCTAAGGCTTCTTGGGAAAAGAGTTTGGATGTTATGAATGAACCTGTTTTGTTTTTTTTTTTTTACATACAAAAAAAAAATTGTTTGCCTTAATTTGGTAACACCCATCATTTTAACCCTGACCAGCTGTACCACACCACCCTGATAAGGATCCATTATCAGATATAGCTTTACTCTTATGTATTCCCTCTTTGCTTTTCCTTGGACTCATAACTTTGAAGTTTGTGTCTTGAACGCAGGTCATCACTTAGGGATATGGGAAATCTTGTCCTGAAAAGCCATTTCCTTTTCTGGACGTATGCAATTCCCACTTTCCCAACTCTATGCATCTTCCTTCTTCCCTTTCTCATGTTCTGCATGCTTCATTTATGCCTCTGCTGCTTTACTTCTCCTTTTGAACCCTCTGACATCAACTTCTTCCTTCCCCCAAATCCGTGCATTTTAGATGTTTTTTTCCTCAGTGTTTTGCGTACTTTTTGAGAAGGCTGCAGAGAAGAGTGGGGAACATTCATCCAGTGCTGAGAAGGTTTTACCTGGGGCAATAAAGAAGCTCCCAATGTATGTGGAAAAATGCAAGAAGTAGAGCTAAAGATTGCAGGAGTGCACCAAAAACATAGCTCTATAGAAATTAAATATGCTGTGCCAGAGCCAATAACTTTTATAGATTTTTCTCTACCTGTAATGAAGGAAAAACATAAATGACTATCATAAAAAGTAAACATTAGAGATAGAAAATCCCTTTTACAGCATTCAGTCCATCTTTCTGCCAATAACAAGTTGTTCCCTGTAGTATATTTTTTTAGTGATTCCTCCAGCCTAGTGTTAAACATTTCAGGTGATGGGCCTTGCTGTTCCCTTGAGAGATGGTCTGAAATCTTAGTGCATTTCAATGTCAGGAAGTTTTTCTTGGCAACTTTCATTTTTCTCTGTCTGTATTTCGTCCTATTGGTCTTGGGATATTACTCATGTTCATTTGAATTTTCTTCTGGTGCTCTTACGGAGGTAGGTGCAGCATAATTCTGTATCACCATTTCACTGCTCTGCAGCAAAAATTCCCAATACACATTTCTTTCCATTCTTGGCTTCATTTAATTCCCAGGCACAGGTAGCATTTCCTTAATGTCTGCATCCTATTTATAGCAGAAAAACTTATCATATCACCAGACTCAATACCACCGCTCTTTTATTTTCATGATGTGAACCAAATCACAAGACCTTGACATCTGCTATTTTTGGTAAGGAGCCAGCACTGGTTTCAGAAACGGGAAAAGTGCTTCCAAAGAGAAAAAATACAAGCAGACAGAGAACAAATACTGGAGAGCAAAACTGGCCAACAAGTAAGAGAGGCCCGAAAACAAAGGGGGAAAATTTTTCAGAAGAAAGCAAACAAGTGAAGGTGTCTGGTACAGAAACATTTTTTTTTTTTTTTTCCTGAAGCTAGAGAGCACTTCTGGTCAAGAATAAATAAGAAGTGGCCTGAATCAGCAGCACAAATATGTGGACCCCTTCTGGAAGAGCTGTCTCACACTTAGCATACACCAAAGGAGATGAGCGATGTTGCCAGCACGTAGGCTCTTCTGCATTAGCTGAAGAGGACAGAGGAACCCTTAGGATACCCAGGTGTACACCCATTTACAAACTGGGCAACCACAAAGGACCGAGGGCCATCTCATGGGTCTGAGGAATTTGCTCATGGAAATTCATTTTGCTCATGCTTTCTGTGAAATTTCTGGCAGTTACGGAGGAGAGGATCCTTTAGATCTGCATCTCCTGGTTATGGAGGAAAGGGGAAATGGAGTCCTGCTTGTGACATATCGGTGTGTCTGAAAAATTAAAACTTGGTCTGGGTTTCAGTATGTCTATCTAACTGTAGGATAAATGCCAGAAGATGGACCTGGAAACTTTGTCTATGTACTCTTATTTAATATTTAGAGTCTAATTGTGATGGATATTTTGCAAGCTATTAATTGTGATTGGAAAATCATCTCTCTCATAGCATCTGAAAACACAACAGATGGTGATATTCCAAGTAGCACTGAGAAAGGGCTAAGTTTACTAAAACACCTTTCAAGGCCCAGAGTACTAAATATCTGAAAACAGACTGAACTCCTCCTCACTTGTATGATTCAGACACTAGAGCAGAAGGCAGAAGGACATCTGTCTAATATTGTTAGCATTGTTAGTAGCAAAGCAACACAGGTCATGTCTTTGCTGTACTGGAAGAAAAAGAAATTACTTATTAATCAGGAAGTTAGTCCTTTGCCAGAAGACAACATTAGATTATTATGTCCAACCTTCTGTGTATCACAGAACTTCAAATTTCCCCTGGATTTCTTGTGATGAACTTAGCTTGACTAAAGAAAAGCTTCCAAAAGTTACCCACTCTTGATTTGTTTAATTTCCTTTACTATTTAAACCTTTTGGGTACTTTTCAGCTAAGTTTACAGCCCTGGAGGACAATTTCAGAAGAAATATTAGGACCTCCATTTTGGTGGAATGTTGTAATTGTATAAACTGATGGTAAAGGACTAAAACACTCAAACAGAAGCCTGCCTAATAAATAGTAATTTGTATCTTTCATATTAACTCCTGTAAGGCACCGTTTTTAAGTAGGTATTGACTTGAATTCAGTTAATACTATATATATATTTTTTTGAAGTGGTTTACCAGTGAAATGAAGAGCCACAAAAGGCAGGAGAGGAGGAAGAACATAAATCTTTACATTAATTGTTGTTTTTCTCTTCCATTATATTATTGTCAAAACTTGAGATGCAGAATGTAGAAACAACTTTTAAGCATATCAAATACTCCTCTGTTAAGGTCAGTAAACTATATTTTAAAAATATCTACCTTTTTTTCTTTCCTTCCTTCCTTTCTAAATTGTGACAAAATTATTCTTCCTATCACTTTAATGGCATCATGTAAAAGGCAGCTTTACAGACTGCTCTGGTTCTGCATCATTGGTGCATCTCCTTTCAGCAAAGAGCTTACACGTGAGCTTATCTTTAGGTATTTGTAATTTCCACTTGAGCTCAATGGAATTTAAGATCATGAAGAAACTTTAATGCTTTGCTGAGTGGGAATACATTTTAGTATATGCTTAAGTATTTTTCTCAAGAGGCTTACCCATGCATAAGACTTCTTAAAAGGCCCTTCTGAGTTAAAAATACCTGAAGTTCTTTCTAATGAGGAAGTATAGAATTCTGTTCAAGATAATCAAGACTCATGCCATCACTTATTTTAAAATTCTTATTAGGAATGAATAAAAAAGGGTTATAGTTGATCAAATAAGCACAGGTTAAAGATAAAAACAGAGAAGGATTATAGTAGAGTGGAAATGCATAAGCATCCCTTACTGAACTTCTTTTATAACCTTTCCTTAACTATACCACATTTATCTATAAGCTCTTTAAGGCAGGAATTCATCATTCTGCATATATATGAGAAGCCTAACATGGTTCAGGGTGTATTTTAATATTTAATAACAAATCATTTTCTTTGGGTATTATAGAGTTTATTGCTGTAATACTGTTTTGCTATTTATTAAATACCTGAACAATACAATAGACAGAGAGACATGGGCAATTATTCATAATATTTTCCAAAGATCTAAAACATACTTCTGTGGTTTTTGGAAAGTATTTCTGAGGCTTCCCAGATAGTACATGATTGTAACAGAATATTAACACATGATGGGGCATGTTTCAGAGGTTCATTAATACATGCTGTAGATGTGCAGCTTCATGCATTCAGCCACCTGAGGCATGTATTAATGGACCATTAAAACATGCCCAGGAGTGTCTTAATGCTATTACAGTATGGCTCTGCAATTTTTAATTCAACTTTTTATAAAACAATTATTTTCAAAAATGCAATTTTTAATGTACTCTGAAACCTCTCTTCAATTCAGAAAAGACAGGGGAAGGGGTGCGGGATGTGACATTAGACTAAGAAAGCAACAGGACATGGATATAAATACTTTTTTTTTTCTTTTTTTACCATTTTAATATATTTGCTTTTGATTTTATATTGTATTGTATAAATAGCATAGTCCTAAGGCCTGATTCACGTTTTTGCTGACCTACCTTTCCACTGCTCAGGAAGTGTAAGAGAGTCTTAAAGTGCCATAAATGTAAATCACACTCCCAGACTACTTAGCTCAATTGCTAATTTCAATAGACATTTCTAGGTTTCTAGGTGAGTAAGACTTTTCAACAGCTTTGGACTTCTGTTGAGGAAAAAGCAAAACTAGAAATCCAAGCAGTTTGCCAAATAACTTTTGCTGTAGAAAGTTAAGACTAGGAAAGGGAAAAGTCGTTCTACCATGGGTGGTCAATCTGCTCATAACTTCAGTTAAATGTTATTGCTGACCACGTCAGTTTCACAAACCAAATCTCAACTGAATTAATTCTAAAATAATCAGTTATCCTTTGGAACTGTTATTATTGTTATACACCAATAATACAAATACTATTATATTTATTATGATAGTACAATGAACAATCCATGATTTGATACTAAACATTGTGTAAGAACATAGAGCAAGCTGTGGAGCAAAGCATATTCTCCCATGTCACCCTCCACATCCTTTCTAAGTTTGGAGCAACATTAAGATCTTAGATGTACTTGAACCTAACTAGAGAAAAGTCCGTTAATTATCTGCTTTAAAAGACTGTAGGTCACCCTTCAAAAAATTCACCATCTGCCCCCCCAAAAAATATTATTTCAGGTCAATTTTAAATGAAGGCAAAATCCAAATGCAATATCATGTATTTATTACTGCATGCCACCTCATTAACAAAAGCAAGCATCATGTTGAAATGGAGTACTGCAAAAAATTGTTCAGAAAAGATTGTAGCTATGTAACAAAGCATTTTTTTATACTTCTTGCTAAAAACTATCTAAGGAAATTTTTTTCTCTTTCTGAATTAGTTTTCTGACAGAAAAAGTTGCAGTGAAGCTCTCCATATTTAGATTAGTGTAGCTTAGGGCTGTGTATTAATCATCATTATCATAATAATAGCATTACACCATTATTACATATTACTCCTCCTCTGAAGTATATAAGTACAGTGCACTATAATTTGCAAATAGTAGCACTGCTGGAGCTGCACTTTTCATTCGCAGTGCTGGAGGAGGAACATCAGAACAATGCCAGATTTAACTGGAGCATCACCACCTCAGACTACGAACTCAACAGCCTTAAATCCTCCACGCTCATCAGGCAGAAGGTCCAAAACGATACATGGCTGAATCCTTCACTGGATATTGATTGCATGGATCTGGGACTGCTTTTTGTTTTTTCCCGTTTCTGTGAGAGCTATGGTGCTTATCAGTCTTGGAACAGGAAGATCTGTGCGAGAGACGTAGTATGATAACCTAAAGCTTTATAACAACTGGTGGGATATGAGAGCCTCTCTTCTCCTTTCCTTCACCATGCCAATTTCAAGTGTGGGGAGTTTTTTAATAATTTTTTTTTTGAAAGGAAAAAGAATGGATGGGTGTTGGGGGTGCTTGGCTTTTCAGAGGGAGCATGGTAGAGGGATTTGACTGGATGCACTAAGTTCTTATGCTTGAAAAAAAAAAAAAAAAAAGGCTGATAGTGCTGTGTTGCAGTGTTGCTGAGTGGATATGGCAGCACTGTTGACTGTCACCTTCCAGGATGAGTCTTCCTTATAATTACATTATCCAGTTTAATAGAAATCCCTCAAAATTAGACATGCAGAAAAATCTAGACAAGTTGGAGAGTTGGGCAGTCACCAACAATATGAGGTTAAACAAGAACAAGTGCTTGACCTGGGAAAGGGCAACCCTGGACATATGTCCAGACTAGGGGACGAGATGCTGGAGATCAGCCCCACAGAAAGGGATCCGGGAGCTTTGGTAGACAGCAAGCTGAACATGAGCCAGCAGTGTACCCTGGCAGCCAAGAGGGCCAACCATATGCTGGGGTGCCTCAGGTATGGCATGGCTAGCTGGTTTAGGGTAGGCATTGTCCTGCTCTGCTCTGCGCTGGTGCAGCCTCACCTCAAGTACTGTGTAGGGTACCACAGTGTAAGATATAAAACTGTTAGAGAGCGTCTAAAGGAGGGCAACAGAGATGATGAAGAGAGGGTGAGACGTATGAGGAGCAGCTGAGGTCCCTGCGTTTGCTCAGCCCCGAGCAGAGCAGGCTGAGGGGAGGCCTCATGGCGGCCTGCAGCTCCCTCACAGGGAGCGGAGGGGCAGGCGCTGAGCTCTGCTCTCTGGGGACAGCGACAGGACCTGAGGGAACGGCATGGAGCTGGGACAGGGGAGGGTCAGGCTGGGGGTTAGGGAAAGGTGCTGCACCCAGAGGGTGGTCGGGCATGGGGACAGGCTCCTCAGGGCAGTGGTCACAGCAACAAGCCTGATGGAGTTCAGGAAGCCTTTGGACAGTGCTGTCAGACACATGGTCTGATTTTTTGTGTCATCCTTTGGGGACCCAGGAGTTGGACTCAGTGATCCTTGAGTCCCTTCCAACTCAGGATGTTCTATGATTCTATGAAAATTATTACGTCACATATTTCCTCAAAAGGCTGAAATTCTATCTAGATCTATATATGTGTATATAAATATGTAGTGAGTAGCCGAGGCCAGCCGCCTCTGAGCCACCGCAGCGCCCGCCTATGCGTTACGGGGGCACCTGGGGCCCTCGCTCGGCCAGGGCAGGCCCAGGGCAGCGGCACGGCCACGCCACCCCCGCCGGGTCCCAGAGGCTGGCAGGGAGCGGACGGTGCCAGGGCCGCGGCGGCTGCACCCACGGCCTCTGCCCAGAAACAGCCCCGGAGAGGCGGCGCCTCGCGGGGCCCGCCGGGCACGGGGAGGGGCGCCCAGCGCCTTGTGACTGCCCGCAGCGCTGCTGGGGGGATTGGGGAGGCTCTTGTGGTAGGACATGGGAGGTCTGTCCCTTCCTTCCGAGTCCATGCTATGGACTAGCGCAGGAGCTGGCAGGACTCGTCAAGGAAGGGGATAAAATGGCTCGCCAGAGAAGTGCCCAGGGGAGCACTGCTGAAGGTGGCGGTGAGGCAGATGTCTCATCTGAAGTGCACCTACACCAATGTGCGCAGCATGGGCAGCAAACAGGAGGAGCTGGAAGTGATTGTGTGACAGGCTAACTACGACCTAGTTGCTATAACAAACATGGTGGGAGCACTCCCACAGCTGGAGTACTGTGATGGATGGCTGCAAGCTATTTAGAAGGGATAGACAAGGAAGAAAGTGTGGTGTTGTGGTTCTTTATATTAAAGAGTGTTTTGATGTTGAAGAGCTTGCGGTTTGGAATGATGAAGTTGAGTGTCTATGGATAAGGATCGGGGGAAAGCCTGTAGGGTTGACATCTTGGTGGGGGTCTATTACAGACCGCCTAATCAGGATGAAGAGATGGATGAGGCAGTCTGTGAGCAGCCCACAAAAGTTACATGATCGCCAGCACTTGTTCTCATGGGAGACTTCAGCTTCCCTGATGTATGCTGGAAGTATAATACTGTGCAGAGGAAACAGTCCAGAAGGTTTCTAGAGCGTGTGGAAGATAGCTTCCTGACACAGCTGGTTCAAGAACCTACCTGGGGAGGTGCCTCGCTAGACCTGCTCATCACTAACAGAGAAGGACTGGTGGGAGATGTGAAAGTTGGGGACTGTCTTGGACATAGTGGCCATGAAATTGCAGAGTTTTCTATCCTTGGTGATGCCAGAAGGGTAACTAGTGAAACTGCTGTCCTGAACTTCTGGAGGGCAGACTTTGACCTATTCAGGTCACTTGTTGCAGGAGTCCCTTGGGAGTCACTCCTGAAGGGCAAAGGGGTCCATGAAGCCTCGATGCTCCTCAAGATGGAAATCTTATAGGCACAGGAGCACCCTGTTCCTGAGTCCTGTAAGGAGAACCGGAGGGGAAGAAGACTGGCATGGATGAAACAGGAACTTTTGTTGAGACTCTGAGAGAAAAAGAGTCTACGTCTGCTGGAAGAAGGGACTGACTACTTGGGGTGACTAGAAGGAATTTGCTCAGATATGCAGAGAGGAAGTTAGAAAGCCAAAAGCCCAGCTTGAACTCGGATTGGCCACTGCAGTAAAAGAGAACAAGAAATCCTTTTATAAATATATTAACAGAAAGAGAAGAACCAAGGAAAATTTCCATCCTTTACTTGAATCAGCAGGGAATTTGATCACTGAGGATAAGGCTGAGGTTCTCAGCACCTTCTCTAGATCTGTCTTTAATAGTTAGATCAGTTACCCTCAGGGTACTTTACGCCCTGACCTGGATGTCCCCTGTGATTCAGGTAGAGAATCACCCCCTGTGATCCAGGAAGAGACAGCTAGAGACCTGCTCCTCCATCTGGAATGTCACAAGTCCATGGGGCCAGATGAGCTGCACCCTAGGGTGCTTAGGGAGCTGATGGAGGTGATTGCCAAGCTGCTTTCTGCCATCTGTCAGTATTCCTGGTTATCTGGAGAGGTCCCAGAGCACTGGAGGCTTGCAGACATGACTCCCATGTACAAGAAGGGCTGTAAGGAGGACCTGGGGAACTACAGACCTCTCAGCCTGATCTCGGTTCCAGGGAAAGGTATGGAGCAAATCCTCTTGGGTCAGATCACACGGCATGTACATGGCATCCAGGGGATCAGGCCCAGCCAGCATGGGTTCATGAAAGGCAGGTCATGCTTGTCCAACCTCATTTCCTTCCATGACCATGTGACCAGACTGGTAGCTGAGGGAAAAGCTGTTGATACAGTCTACTTAGACTTCAGCAAAGCCTTTGAGATGGTCCTCTGTGGTATTCTCCTGGGGAAACTGGCTGCTTGTGGCCTGGACAGGTATATTCTTCTCTGGGTCAAGAACTGGCTGGAGGGCTGTGCCCAGCGGGTTGTGGTTAATGGAGTTAAGTTCAGCTGGTTCCCCGTTACAAGTGGTGTCCCCCAGGGGTCGGTACTGGGGCCTATCTTGTTTAATATCTTCATTAATGACCTGGATGAGGGGATTGAGTGTACCCTCAGTAAGTTTGCAGATGGCACCAAGTTGGGAGGTAGTGTTGATCGTGAGAGCAGGGTGGCCCTTCAGAGGGATCTGGATAGGCTGGACTGCTGGGCTGAGGTGAATGGGATGAGGTTTAACAAGGCCAAGTGCTGGGTCCTGCACAATAACCTCATGCAACGCTATAGGTTTGAGGCAGAGTGGCTAGAAGACTGTGAAAAGAAAAGGGACCTGGAAGTGTTGATCAATGCTCAGCTGAATATGAGCCATCAGTGTGCTCAGGTGGCCAAGAAGGCCAATGGCATCCTGGCCTGTATTTGAAATACTGTAGCCAGCAGGAGCAGGGAGGTGATAATCCCTCTGTAAGCAGCTTTGGTGAGGCTGCACCTCGAGTACTCTGTTCAGTTTCGGGCCCCTCACTACAAGAAGGACATTGAGGCCCTGGAGCGTGCCCAGAGAAGGGCTACAAAGCTAGAGAAGGGCTACAAAGCTAGTGAAGGGCCTGGAGCAGAAGTCCTGTGAGGAGCAGCTGAGGGAACTGGGGTGATTTAGTCTGGAGAAGAGGAGGCTCAGGGGAAACCTCATTACTCTCTACAACTACCTGAAGAGAGGTTGTGATGGGGAGGAGGTCGGCCTCTTCTCCCAGAAAACTGATGATTGGACTTGAGGAAATAGCCACAAGTGACGCTGGAGAGATTTGAATTAGATATCAGGAAAAACTTTTTCTTTCTAAGAGTGGTCAGGCACTGGAGCGGCCTGTCAGGCAGCTGGTGGAGTCACCGTCCCTCGCGGTGTTTAAGAAGTGCCTGGACAAGGTGCTACGAGATACGATTTAGTAGCTTAGTGGGCAGTATTGGTGACAGGAGGACGGTTTGACTAGATGATCTTGTAGGCCCTTTCCAACCTTGTGTTTCTATGATTTCTATGATATCTGCAAATGATTTAAAATAATCTAATCCAATCTGAAGAAAATATTGTTTGCACCAGGATCTAGAGACCATGCTATTTAAGCACATACAGTTAGGAACTGCACTATCTAGCTTTTAAGCACGTGGCTGCCAGAATTAAAGCTACTTCAGCATTTAACACCTCTTTCTCTACAGTTTAGGTAAAAGGTCATATGCTCCAAAAGCGTTATCCAAAACGTGACAGCATGGAGAGGGAAATCCAGCAAAACTAACCAGTAAGGAAAGAACTAGCTCTGAATTTTTTATACATTTCCCTCAGAGTTCTTCAGGGTTGTGAAGGAAGGACTAGGATGTAATACTGGATCCGATTATGTGAGGAGAAAGGGACCAAGAGAAGGAATCAAAAGCAGAGAAGAGCAGGACAGGGGAAAGAACAGTAGAGGAAGAGGCTGAGATGGTCAAGCCTGGGGCAAACATGCAGAAGTATGGTTCCATTACTGTGTGCTCTGCCCATGAGGTCCTGGATTTTCATCTTTCTGTTTCATGCTTTGTGTGTATTACATAATATAATTATATGTTACATTTTTTGTATATTTTTAATGTATGATTTTTATTTTTGTCTAATGAATTACTTGAAAGAGGAAGGTGGTCAAAAGCTCAGTGACTTTTAGTAGCTAAGAA